TCGTGAACAAAGAACAATAACACCTCGCGTTTGCTCAAAAAAAAATGCGAACATAATCAATATGTATTCTTTCTTGATAAGCTTGCACGAGGTTGATAAATATATTTATACATCGACTCGGATCACCGGCTCTGAGGAAGACGAAGACGTCGAAACGTTAGCCGAAAATAAATATATTTATCAACCTCGTGCTAGCTTATCAAGAAAGAATACATATTGATTAGTCACACCGAGGTTTAGGGAAGGTCGGTTTCGAAATATTACTACGCTTTGTTAATCGTCTAGAGGTTTTGTCCGTCTGGAAAACAACTTAGTAGTAGCAGTAACTAGTATGATTGGATAAGTTGTTAAGAGATATTCACATACCCTTGGTTTNAGGATGCCTCATTCGAGAAGATGGCTCACTGAGGAAGATCTGGCTCGACAGGAAGGCGAAGACGCAACGTCGAGGCGAACAACAAGCATGGACCATCGACTCGGATCACCGGCTCTGAGGAAGACGAAGACGTCGAAACGTTAGCCGAAAATAAATATATTTATCAACCTCGTGCTAGCTTATCAAGAAAGAATACATATTGATTAGTCACACCGAGGTTTAGGGAAGGTCGGTTTCGAAATATTACTACGCTTTGTGCTAGCTGATAATACACCGACCTCTGCACGATGTGCGCAATGATGTATGTCCGGAAGAAATACAAGTTGTTACCACCGGACATTGTCATTATATATCCACCATCAGCATCGTGTATAAAAGGGCATCACTGAGTAAGGATGCCTCATTCGAGAAGATGGCTCACTGAGGAAGATCTGGCTCGACAGGAAGGCGAAGACGCAACGTCGAGGCGAACAACAAGCATGGACCATCGACTCGGATCACCGGCTCTGAGGAAGACGAAGACGTCGAAACGTTAGCCGAAAATAAATATATTTATCAACCTCGGCCAAGCTTATCAAGAAAGAATACATATTGATTAGTCACACCGAGGTTTAGGGAAGGTCGGTTTCGAAATATTACTACGGTTTGTTAATCGTCTAGAGGTTTTGTCCGTCTGGAAAACAACTTAGTAGTAGCAGTAACTAGTATGATTGGATAAGTTGTTAAGAGATATTCACATACCCTTGGTTTCTTATTGTTTGACCCTAAGTATAGAACTAAATGGGCGCGTGTGGCGCAGTGGTTAGATGCGCCAACGCTGAGAGCTTTATCCTTTTATAGAACTACATGGATAAAAATAAATATACTTTCACTTGCAACCTTAGGAAGAAATTTATATAGGACAAGCTTCTTCATATTAAGATTTTAGGAAACATGATAGTTATACATCGAAATGACCAATTCAGAACCGCAAATGCAAAGCCTTAGGTGTCTTAGGTATGTATTTAGTGTCTTATTGTTATCGTGGTAATGTCATTCAAGGGCTTTTCATCATCGGAAGTTGTCGCACAGTAAAGAGCTTATCCTATGGGGGAGTCATTCGAGCCGATAATCCGGGTTTTTTTTTTAAAGCGGATTCTTCCGAAAGTTCATTGAAGTGTAATCCATGGCATTCCAATGCCTTGTTATGAAGCAAGCTCTTTAACTAATTTCCTTCTAAGAACACTATGGGTTGCGGACTTTATACCAAGACATTGATGTTCTTCGTGTTCCATGGGCAACAAAATCTGCTGGCTAGCTCTGATTTGCACTCTACAGCTTTCTATTGGAGTCATTCCGTGATTAATGGCGCTCGTAGGTGTTCAACATGGTGGTTTGTCTGGACGGTGATCGGGTTCATTTCGTGGACGGCCTAAGTTACTTAAGCGCTTGTTCGATCCCTCGGAGCCCTCCTCCCCTCTCCCTCAAGCCCCTCGTCCATCCGTGGTCGATAAATTGGCACCATGCTTGTCCGGAACAAGCTCAATACGCTAGTCCTCGTTGGAGCGCTTTGGCAAGGTTATTTTAGGGTTCCAGGGAGAGCGAAATTAATTAGCATTCGACATTTGTGATGAAGACGAAAAAATCCTCAAACATCAAGTAAGTCCACACAATCAAAAAGAGATCAAGAGTCCTCATGGATGGTGAATATAAGGAATCGAATCGGATGCTAGGGGTGCTGGATCTGCACAGTGCGGTACATACTGTTTCAGGTCATGTATCAATGATAATAAACAATATATGGTGGCGAGTGATTGATTGATTGATGTAACTGATTACCGAGAAGTTTTCGAATGCACAAAATCCATTGAACTTGGTTGTATTTTCAGTGCAGGTGATCTTTTCGGTAGTTCCTTCATTGCTCGATAGGTGCTGGACTGTTGATAGAAGCCGTCAGTGATGTCCAGCCGTGTCCAGTGACTTCTATTTGACTTAAATTTCGAAATGGTCACGCGTAAATATCTCGGCAGTGACATTTCGATTCGCTCTGTGATATCCTGTTGGCTTATTGCTTTCTAAACTGTCAATGACCCTCATCTGAATCGAAAGAAATCCGGCAGCGATAAATCAATGACGTAAAGATCGAGGAATATTCAAGTACTTTCTTTCTGTTTACTGTTTACTTAAGCAAACAAAGTCCGTAGTTGTTTACTCATTGAGTGTGTTGTGGTGCGTTTAAAGGCTTAGTCGACCAAAACATGTGAACACAATAAAGGAAATGGATATACTCGTAGGTAAATCGTCTATGAAACCTAAGTATTGTTCGTTTACACACCCCATATAGAGTTTTTTTCATTTTTTTGCGTAGTGTCGGATTCATTCTAATTATCCGGAGGCGCGGATCCAGAGCTTAATCTTGCCTTTCGAGTACTTTAACAACACTATTTTCTACAAACATTTGCCATTTTCGTAGCTAACAGTGACTATTCCAGTGGCTGAGGTTGTCTACCAAACGGTCATTGTCCTGTTTAGCTTCACTTTATTTAAAATTCTGTACCTGGACTACTTATGCCCAATTTTTTCAAGTCCTACACTTGCTAAGATTTTCCTTTTGTCTCCAAAGTATGTTAGACCGAAAGTTCATGATATATAAAGATATCAGTCGATATAGACAAGTAGTGGCTTGCCTCTCCTGGAGCGCCATTGCAAACTACGACGGCGAGGTTTGTCAACTTACAATGTCGACGTAAAACACGCTCTGTCGCACTAATCCGTTTTTTGTTTTTCCGTCTAGTCTGCGGTATTCTTCCGGTGCCGATCTGGTTCTGCCGGCGGTGGCGACGGAAGTGGCGACGTCGGTGGTGGCGGCGGCGGCGGCGGCGGTGGTGGTTGTGGTTGCGGTCCATGCGCATTGGCGCCGCCTCGTCGCGCTGTGCACTCGTGCACGATGCAGCCGACCATACGCACCGTGCTTTATGTACTGCTTGTACTGCTGACACCGCTTTCTCGACTTGTCTTCGTTTCGGCACAATGTCCAGTCATCAGGGGACCATGTCGATGTGCACCGTCCATTAACGAACCGGTGGCGATCGTGTGCGAGAACGCTGGAAGTCTCAGCAATGCTCTGCAAGCCATCCAATCGGCTAGGGAAATATCTGTTAGTGATACTCTTCTACTCTTTGCGTATAATCATTGGAGTTCTGTAATGTTCAAAATTCCATGTTTTCCTGTCCAACGTCGGAAAAATCAATTTCAGATCGATTCTCTTTCTATTATCGACACGGCTGTCTCCAGTATCCCTGCGAACGTGTTCATGGTGGTTTATTATGCTCTGATATCGTTCCAAAATCATGGTCCTTTAACATTTTTTGCGACATTTTTAATGTTTTTAAACTATCTGACGGAAATTCCTGTGATAAAGTAGTTTCACCTGTCAGATCTAATCAGGTGAAAATGAACATTCATGAAGTCCTCTAGTGCCATTTAGTTCCTTGTGTCGTAGTTGTTCTTTCTTCGTTATCTACACTTACAACGAGTAAAAAGTGTTTGTTCTTCTTACGATTGACAATTTACATGGGTAAAAGATCGATTTGAATTGGTCTTTCCTTTTTTCATATCCTTTAAACATGTCATTTAAGGTGATTTGAATTATAAAAAAAAAGAGAAATGCCGTAGTGACATTTTCTTTCACTTCCAAACGATGCTTAGTGGAATGAGTCGAATGCATGACGTAGCCCTCAGGGATTGGTCAACGCCGAGGGCTTTCCTCTTTTTTTCCCTTTAGTGAAAAAATCCAGTTATTAGGGAGAATTTTACGAAAAGCGTCATAATCGAACTGGATAAAGTCTGTGGTAATTCTATCTTTTGTGTTTATTTTGTTTTGGATGTTTCCTACTTGTTTTTTCCTGGTGTACTGGAATATTCGGTTCTCCAAATTTCCATCAATACCGGAGAAACTCAACTGAAATGGAAAAAATTCGCTGAAAATTTTACATGATTGAATTTTTTTGTAATTTTTGTAATGTTCCTAGGGTTTCACAATTCTTCGACTTGTGTTGAATCGCAACACACTACAGTTCATCGACGATCAGGCATTTAATGGACCACTATTGGATTCGCTCGTCGAACTCGATCTGAACGACAACAATCTCGGTCAGATACCTCAGACTGGTCTGACTCGACTTCGGAATCTCAGAAAACTCTATTTGAATCGAAATCGTATCAACACATTGGCATCGAATCCGTTTTCCGCCTACGAGAGCAAGGAACTCCTCGTGAAACTCTCACTGGCTGGGAATCGACTCACTGATCAGTCGCTCACTGACACTGCCGTCTTTCAGCCACTTCGGTTGTTACAGGTTAGTTTCTCATTATCGCTCTATCTTTCTATTTATGAAGGAAAACGATCAGGAGAGTTATGAACTCTTTATCCATTTCTTGCGTTTATTGGCTCCTCTTAAATAGCTGGTGTAGGTTTTTTTAAATGTGAAAATAACAGGTAGGTGGGTAGAGTAGCTACAGTGCGTGCCAAGTGGAAAATGGTTGATTGTTTGTTTTGGCTTGTTTTCCCAGCTTACGAATTCCTATTGTAGTGCTATTTCTAAAGCTACTCGTTGTCCCAGTAAGGTTGTAATTCAGAAACTTTCTCTTTGTTGATTACTGTAACCCATGATTTTACCTTATAAAGGAATTTTTCTCATAGTTCGGTTTACAATAATCGCGTTGGTTTTGTGTTTTAGGATGAAAACCTAGTTTTTCCTTGCGTTTTTCTTTTTTATTTTTCTTTACTTTTCTTCCTTTTCTTTACCTATTCCTAGGAAATGATCATTATCTCTCAGTTTCCGCTGGTTCTCTGTCATTTTCACGTTAAATAGAATAATTCTGATATCTCTTCATTGTTTGAGTCATTACCATCGATAGCTGAGTGACTGGGCGTTGTCCAGCCACCACTTCTAACAGCTATGTCAATATGAACGGCATCCAAACTAACCACAGCCTACGATTTTTCGCCTCAGGACCAGCGTTTGACGCTTGTCTAAATAAGCAGAGAGGGCATATCAATCCAGCCGTCGTGATATCAGAAGAAAAGTTTCATTTTCCACTTAGCATGGCAGATAACCTATGGGAAGTTATAAGAGCTTCAGCGGTTGAGTGGATGCTACGGAGGTGTTGGTTGGTACTGAGAACTCCATTTATCGAGGACTTTCTCTTATTACAGTAATTTGAGTCATGGGTCATGTAATTTTTTGGAAACTCTGAATTTTTTTTAGTGTTCATCATTTGTTTGGTGTAGAATGCTTGTTTCTGATGACATGTTCGAGAGGTTTTTAAAGGTCGGCCTCCGCGACAGAAGATCTACGTTTTAGTATTTCCCAAGTAAAGGCGTCGTAGTTTTTTCTAATTTTCTGTTTTTCTTTGTAGCTTAATTGATTTCAGAAGAGAGGAAAGTCCCATATTAGTTCCATAAATTCATGACTTTAATTGGAAGAGAAATCAAAGGATTCTTTAGCAACTCTCTCTGGAAACGAACGCACTGACCCAAATTCCGTCAGCAGCGTTGGTAAACCAGCGAGGCACCCTCACAAACCTCAACCTTGGTCTGAACAACATCAACGAGGTTAGGTCGGCTTTCCGTACGAGAACATATCTAGGAATTAAACCCGCAACACAAAGTCTGCTTCAGGTTCCTGTCGGCGCTCTGGACTTTCCGAAGCTGACGTCACTTTCCCTTGAATTCAACGGAATCACTATCATCCTGCCCCAAGCTTTCCAGGCAAATGACCTAGCAGTATTACCTTCTTTCCAAGTTTCCTTCGAATCCTTTATTTTTAGGGAGTACCGAACCTACAATACTTGTATCTGACAGGGAACAAATTTCCATCATGGGCTCCAGAGATGTTCCGCTACATCACACAGTTGAGAACGCTGGGAATCGGGGAAACACCGATATCGGTGATTCCCAACAATGCGTTTATGGTAAGGGTTGGATATTTTTTCACTTCTCCATTCACTACTTTGTTATTGTACACAATTTTGTAAATGTGGATATGTGTAGCGCAGAGGTTAGAGGTGTTCCGCAGTACGCACGGGACTCTTGATTCGTTCCCATCCCGCCCCTCCTCCCTCACGTTAATCCTCCATCACATATTATTTGAACAAAACAGTACTAGAAGAAAAGTTATGAGAATTATAACAAGGTGTTGTTCTTTCTAGCTGAAGAGAAACCGGTTGTTTTCCATCGGTATTAAATCCGACGGTATTTCTTAAATCCAAGATGGATAAATATGACGAAATCTTCGACACAAATTGGAGAGAATCTGTTAGCTCTATATGATCCGATATCACTTAAGAAACTTTTAAGCCGTTAGTTTTTTGACAAAAATTCAACTGGAGCTTCCTTACGTCATTGTTGAAACGATGTATTGACTGAGATTCCAAAGCCTGTTGTTTTGTTTTGTTGATTTTTTAGAGAACTAGAAGAAACTGTCAAAACAGAGTGCACTACAAAATACTTCGTAAAGTGTCAGTTATTATAAAGAATTTCAAACGAGTAGAATGTGATTGACTACCTCTCATTCTTCTACTCAACGCTTCTCCCTTTGCCTTATCAAACTGGTGCTCTTGGATATCGCGATGTCACATTATGGAGCTATTCCCACTTAAATTTCATCCCAGCAGAGTAATTGAACGTTACTATTTGCTAAATTACCTAGCAGCTTCCGTGTGTGATGTATCACCGCTACCCTTGATGAAACCTGCTCGTCCGATGACAAACCTCTGTTCGAACAGTTTCAATTTTGATAACAAACTTGAAACACCATCTTACGGCTCTCTCAAGACTCTAAAAAAAGTCGTCCTAAGCAGCAAGGTGCCATTCGAATGAAATGGAGCATCTAGGTACCTCAGTAGAAGAGTATTCTTCCATTTCAGTATAACTAGTCTATGATGTGTTCTGCCTTTTATTTTTTGAACTCAACACGATGCTGTTCTCTTTACTCGAAGAAAAAAGAAAATCATTCCTGGATTTTCCACGGTACATATGTGTGTATGTTCTTCAAGATATACAGTGCAGCAAATACTGTGTAAGACCCTTTAGTATAAAAGCACATCATAGAAAGTCAGAAAAAAAAATGAGCAGGGTGTGACTTAGGAAATTTTAAGCGCCACCAAGTGAAATAGCTTTCCAATCTTGTATTGCGAACATTTGTAATTTGTTGTTTATCTTATGAAATTACTTGGTGCTTAGTTGGCAGCAGTTCACTAAGAATAATTTTGTGGACCTTGGTTATTTTAAGTATTACTGGTTTATCGCTGGCTAGTCTTTGGTTTTTCACGTTTCCCTGCGAAACCCTGTAAAGGTCGTGGTAGAGTGTTCTCATTTGGTTCAAAGCCTTCCTGGATAGAAAGCAGTGTTACCAAGTCGAGTGTTTTTGTCCGCAGCGGTCACAATTCTTGGAATCGGTTTATTGCTAGCTGGATTTTTGGTTATAAATTTCGATGTGGCACGATTGAATAACTTAATTGAAGGCGTGAATCTCTCTCAATACATCGCAGTTCAATCCACACGAACACCTCCCAGTCACGATGAAGTGATAAACTGTTTGGAAATCCGTCTACTCCACACTATATAGTATCCACGTCCCACTTACGTTTTTTCGTTTTTATTGTGGCAATAATTACTACGATTTGCAGTACATTCCGAATTTGATTCGACTGGAAATGTCGGAGGCAGCTGTCGACACTATTGAGCGCGGCGCTTTCCAACGTACGCCACGTATCCAAGCCATTGTCCTCAATAAGAACCGTCTTTCTCAGTGAGTAATCGTCTACGAAAAGGTTTTTTTATCATTAAAATGTCTAATATGGGCTTTCACCTATCAAAAGGCTTTACGAGTATGGGGCTGATGTATTTGTCCATCATTTATAGTTTGTGACACAAGATTGTCTTTTCGGTGAAGGAATATACAACAAACTGTGTGTATTGATTTCAATGCAGTGTTCGTTAGTAATGGACGGTTTAAAGTTCAAAAAAGCGCGTGGTGAACTTTACAACTCAAATGAAGGCAACTGAAATCTGTGGGCACTTCTCAGCAAGAGTTCAAAAGTTCTCTTATTCTGCGATGGCGTAATCATCATTTTTAATGGATTTTAATGGTATTTCGTAATTGTACTTCGAACATTGAACACGATTGGACAGCTGTGATTTTGTAGAACTGGATTTGTTTGCCGCATTATATTGGAAATTTTAGAAACCTACGACTTATTCTAAATTTTGTTACCTGTCATTCCAACAGTTTTTAAAATGCCCGAATAGTCTATCGTAATCATACGTATCCCTTGGACGATAAATAGAATCCTCTTCTCTGTCTCTATCAAGGTTTAGACTCCTGCTCTCTTGTAGGAATTCTCACGATCGATTTTCAGTTCTCGATATTCTTGTCCGCCTTGATTCTCGATGTCTTGATATGTTGAAGGCGAAATCTGTCGAACTGTCAGCTTTACCGGAATGAGGAGTAAAGTAACACCTCGTGTTTGCTCAACAAGAATATCGAGAACTCCTACTCTCCTAAAGTGAAACCAGCATCGTTCACTGTCTTTTATACTTCAAATGTTAATATTCCGTTTCGTTAACATTTCGGTTTCATCGCCGTTTTCATTATTTAAGCAATTCTTTATGCGTCGTTTTCTTTTTCAGTAATCGCGAGGTTGTTAAACAGCATACATTTACTTCCATAAAAAACACAATACAATACAACACTAGCTGGCGTTTCGACAGTATCGCCTTCTTCAGAACCGCTTTTTACGTGACTTCCAATGAGGAAGATTTAAAAAAAGTAAACTAAAAACTATTAAACTAATAAACTCGAAAACAATAAGATTGTCTGTTAGTGATAAGGGGGAGAGTTCTTAGTTATTCCTCGCCGGCTGGATGTTTAGATAACAGACGAACATCTTAGTGATGCTACTCTCTATCGCTCATCCTCTGAAAAGGAATATAGAAGTCAATACCGTAAGCTAAACAATCAATGGGTCAAAGTGGCAAAAGCGGCAGGCTTAAAATCGTCGGTTATTTTGCACTTTAAAATCGATAAGCCAACATGTCCTGTCCTATACCTACTTATTAAAACACATAAGTTGGTATCATCTGATGATCATGCGTCAACCAATCCGTCATCATTTAAGGTTAGACCGATCATCAACTGTGTAGACGGGCCAACGGATAGAATAACCTGGTTTTTAAGCCTAATGCCTACCCGGTCTCTTAACCACATTCCAGCTCACCTCACAAACACCTAAATGATCCTAGAGCGTTTACGTAACGCATCTAACAACGCGTGCGTGATGGAGTCATTCGCCTTTTCCGCGCTGCACACCAACGTGTCGAATGACTCTGCAATGCAAGCCATCTTCGAACTTCTTGTTGAACATGAAGTAAGAATAAATATGCATGGCTTGACCATCCAGCAGCTAATGACTCTCTTAAAGGAGTGTCTAAACTACTCGATTTCCGGATGGTCTGAAAAATATTTCGCGCCAGGAGGTTGGCAATGAGACAGCGATTGGCACCAAGCCTTGCCATTGTGTTTATGTCTAAGATAGAAGCCCCTGTTCTCAATCTCCGGCCACTACTGCACATATGTAAATGATTGTTTTGTCGCCTTCTCTACGTAAGAGGAGATGGAGGAGATGGACAAGTGCTTTGAATTACTGAGCGAGCAGTCTGAGTACATTAAGTTCACCTGGTAGAAACCGAATAAAAACTGGCTTCCGTTTCTAAACGTTCAAATAAACCTGTCAAGTAGCCGTTACATGACAAAATGGTACCGAAAGCGAAGTAAAAAGAACATCCTCGTTCCTTTCTTCCCACCCTTCACACATAAAGAGGGCGCTTCTGAGAAACATGTTTCGAACAGCCACCTCTGTGTGCACTACCAGGGAAGTAAAGGAAGAATCGCGCGACTTGGCTCTGCAAATAGCCATCTCCAATGGCTACGAAATAGTAACCCCACGAGATAAGTTTACAAGGAGAACGACGAGCCCACGCGAAACACTTGGCCAAAAGAAAGTCCCGTTCATGTTGCCTTTTATAACCGATGAAGTAAGCGTAACTATAAAACGATGCTTAAGAAGGGCAAGTCTAGAGGAATCGGTAGCGATAGTTGAAATGCCACCGTCGCCAATTAGTTCGCAACCGCCTGTATGACCATCTGTGTGAAACAACAAATTGCGTAATTTGCCCTCACGGCAGGGACGGTGATTTCATGAGTTCAGGTACGTTATACCTGATCTCTTGTAATAATTGCGGAGATGAATATATTGGCGAAACGGGCAGACCTTTGTGTATCCGTATAAAGGAACACCTAGATGGCAAACGAAAAGCAAGGCAAAGTAACCCCACTAGGCACGCATACGATGCAAAAGCATAGCGGAGACGATTTTGAAGTAAAAGTCAATATCCTTGTACGGGAGACTTAAACACCAACGCGAAAGCTTTCTGAGGTTTTTTGGATAAATGCCAAAATCCATACAATGAATAGCAGGGATGAATACCAGAGGTCATACCCGACCTGACCCCGTATGTTCGCATCAATTTCTGATGTGGGATGGTGCAGTCATCAACCATATGCGACTATAATCAGCTGTTCTAAACTTCCTCATTGGAAGTCGCGAAAAAAGCGGTGGGCTTTTCGAGAAGCTCTTGATCATGTAATTGCCATAGGGTTTTTCGTCTTTTTGTAAGTGTTATTGAAGCGTTTGGCCTAGTAGATTGTATATCAGTATACCCTTCCTCCAGGCTCTGAAGAAGGCGGTATTGCCGAAACGTCAGCTACTGTTCTATTGTATTGTATGTTTTTGTATGGAAGTAAATGTATGCCGAACGATAACCTCGCGATTGTTGAACAAGGAAACCGCGCATTCATATGCCAATGCCGAGGTTAATAGAAAGTCGGTCTTGGGAACTGCAATTGTTTATATTCTTGTTGAGCAGACGCGAAGTTTTATTTTATTCTTTATTTACGCACAAGCTGACGTCTCGGCGGATTTCGCCTTCCTCAGAGCCTGGAAAGGTCAAGTTGACAGCAATCTACCCCGTCAAACAGTTCCATAACCAAGCAGAGAAAACGCTAAACCAAGATTTCAATCACATTGAACCGCTTTCTATGAGTCTTCCACTGAATATGTCGCGTGGAGACCAACCGCACAGAGTTTACATGGAAGCGTAATGTGCCTCTCACATCAAAACAGCAGTCTTAAATACTACCTGATATTACGCGTGATAATGAGGCATTGCTCCCTGCGGTTCATTTTCGGATTCTTGGAATTAATCCAGAATGCTTCAAGAATTTTGCGCGCTTGTGTTTTCGACTCTTGTGCGAGGATCCTTACTTGTACTTCAAAATCTTCCCCGTTCTGTCTTTGTGTCCGTTGCGTACCCAGTGGAGTACTTGGTCTAATTTTAAGTTGAGTGGTTTGTTTCACTGTTGTTCTTTTGTAAATTTCAATTGTAAATAGTTTTAGAAAGAGATGGTTTGAGCTACGAAGGTGGAGGTGATAGGATAGTGCGTGTTCCATAGCTCTGTCAAGTTCTGAATTCCTCAACTTCTCTATCGAAAAAATATCGGCTGTCATCATGAAACACTTTGATGCGTCATGTGTTGAAGGGTTCTAATCGTAAACATGAAGATAAAACCTGTTATAAACTAGGCTACATAGAGAATTACTACATGTTTAACTCAATGCGGGATTAACCTGACACCTTTCTCGATCTGATCGTCAGTGATCAGTGATTTACAGTGGCTATAGATGGATGGGAGGGCTTGCGGCTTTCTCATAATCCGTGGAAGTAAAATGGGAAGTAAATTCTTATCCTGCTGCAAAACAGGTTTTATAAGGGCTATGAAATTCATGAGGATCAGCCACAGCTGGTTACCTCATCTGGGTCCCTTACTTTATTTTGATGCGAATTGGAGAAACGTGCGTTGGACCGGCTTTTCAGACACCAAACAAGATGTATGAGCTGTTATTTGGTTGTGCGATAACTCTAGAAAGTGAACTGGAAGAAGAAAAGAGCTAAGAAGTTGGTAGAAAACTAGTAAATTTTAAGACAACTAGGTTAAGCTTCCTGATACAATATTAGATATTTAGCTGACTCGTCTTTGCCAGCAGTAATCTCCTCGACAGAATTCCGGTCTGATTGCTATTGTTTTACTAGTTGGCTTGCTAATCCGAATTTCGACCTTCCTATGCGATCAACCACAGGCAGCCGTCGCTTGCTGTAGATGGAATGATAAGAGACCTGCTGCTTTGTGTCGAGTTTTCCTGAAGGACTGCTGCCCTTCCCGGTAGAAGCTTACTTGTTACCTGGGGGTCCAGGCGAAGATGAGACCTTGGTCTTTTCAACAACACAGTATGGTCATAATAAAGCAGTGTGTGATTAAGGACCTACTTGATACTATCTGAATAACAATCGGATCTTTAAACAAATGAATTATACAATTATCGATTTAATGTACGTGAATAATGAGAAGAGCAATTTTCGATGTGGTTAGTTTCGTTAGTATTTTAATAAGGTATGTAGTGCAGGCAGATTTCATGACACCAGAGATTCTTAAAAGGATTTGCTTTACTTCTCTATTTGTTGTAAAAAGAAGTGCTTAAGGTTTTTTGTGCGACTATTATAAAAACCACTCAGGGGGAAACTTTGGAAGTCTCTTTTCCCTTTCGAGAAATGCACACAGTCCATTGTTCGGCCCCCATTGTTTACCTGTGTGATCTATTCGTTTATAAGCAGATACGAGGCGACAAGGTGTGGTATGGTTGGTTGACTTTGATCGAATTCGTAAACTTCGAGCACCTGCACCCAGCTGACATGACCCATTACGAATAAAACACTAGGGACAGTAAAAAAAAAGATGATTAGGATTAGCTGACTTTGGGAAGTTTTTTTCTAGCTAGAGGAATGAAGAGAATTAATTTATTCATACAAGTCGTATAAAGAGTTGAGCGTTCGATGTTGATCAATTCCTTAGGGATGATCTTTACATTCGACATCATCAGACATTTTACTGATGATTGAATGTACTTCATATATGTACAAATAACTTCCGGTGACCTAGTAACCTATCAAGTCAGTGTTCTCATCATCACAGACTATATTATTATCAATACTTCTACCTCGGTGAGACAGAGGGCTTGGTTTGACCAGGACGGAGTATAGAGCTAACGACCCTGTGAGTGTTGCAAGCTAACTGTAGCGATTGCGCTGGGAAGTACTCCAAAAGTGGTAAATGGTATCATAATTTATCACTTATGTTCGAGTTTAGGATTCGTGCCGATTTCTTTGAAGGTCTCAATGACTTGTACTCGATTGACGTGCAGGGTAATCGTATCGATAATGTGCAACCATTTGGTTTTGCCAATTTGCCATCTCTCAGTCATTTGGATATCAGGTGATTTGATTGGTTTCACTGAATGGATGTTTTGTTGCAGTGTTTTTGACATCAAAGGTTTTCTCTGTTTAAAAAAACCTACTTATAGAGATTTAACCAATTTGTAAACACAACAGCTTTTGGGTGACCCTACAAGAGGAATAAATTTAGAAACGTAGCAGCTGATCTGCTCATCCGTTCTTCATCGCGCCAAACTACTATATATCGTACTACGTTTTCTAAGAGAAAATTTTCCATAAAAATAGAAATTTATTGGGGTAGTTGAAAAACCTCTACCGTTTTTGTTATGGACCCTAAACAAGTGATTCAATGATGGTTTACAGAATCCTTTAGTTGTTCTGCTCCGAGTTTCTTCGAGTGTTTTTTCTATTATCATTACCGTATCGCAAATTCCTTATAGATATCAGAACTCAAATGTTTCTCAGAATGCCATAAAAATAAAAAGGATAAAGTTCTCGGCGTTGATCAATCCTTGAGGAATGCGCCATGTATTCGACTTCATTAAGTATCGTTGGAGGTGAGTGAAAGCATATCTGGCCTTTACAATGGCTCGTGGTGGCCTACCAATGCGTCGAGCCTGTGCTGCTATCCTCCCGGATAAGTCTGGTACCAATTTACCGACTCCGGAAAGATGGAAGACTTGGTGGGCCATGAGCGCCGGGATCGGTTCCACGTGTGTGTTTCGTGGTTCCAGTGGCACCTCCAACCACTGCGCCACACGCGCCCTTTCAGAATGCCATAAGAAATGAAAATGCTTTCCAGAAATCTCTAGGAGCTCTTTTCGTAGTTTCTTATTACGGGGAACTCTTCAAACAAAATTTCTATATACTAGTCAATGTTTAATTGTTAAGAAAAAGAAAATTTACTTACGAGTACCTTTTTTTAAATTCACTTTCGCTTTTTCCCGTTGAAAATTCTGCATTCGTGAAATGTTGACAAATAGAATTCTATCGCTGTTGAAATTCCTAAGTTGTTTGGTTTGGGCTGTGTCAGCCGGCGGATGAAGCATTATCACTAACGCTGAAGTGGAGTGGAAAAATTTCCAGACACAAGGGAGTGGTCTTTTTATTGAAATTCGGCCGTTGAAAATACGTCAAAACATCGGGAAGATTTTTATTAAGATATAACGGTTTCTACGCATTGGGTACGATGCATGTGATGTCCAGGCTGTGTCCTTTTTTGAGCATTATTAAAGCAGAGTATTTTATCTCTTATTGAACTTTATTAGTGAGAATAGACATTTGCAAATTTTGGCCTACAAGTTTTCTAATTCCGCCAAACCGATGACATATTTTTTTTGATTTATTACATTGACGTTCTTGTTTCGAATTCGAAATCAAATTTTTCGAAAAAAAAGTCGAAAAATGAGCAAGCTGAGTTCTGTCCAGGATCCCATAAAGGCATATTTCGTTTTTGTACTTTGCTTTCTAGAAACTTTATTTCTAAACATATTTTAGAATGGAATAAAATAATATTTAGAGTAAAGTAGAATAAAATCCATATCAGGAATTATAACTGAAGGGCGAAGTCTGTTCTGCAAATCCGTGATCTCCAGGGCCATTCGCATACTTTCGTGGCAGAGAAATTATCGTCACCTGTCGAAAAATCTATGTTGGGCGTTATGTGCTACTGGTTACTTTTTATTTTGCATAACTCATCGTCCGTAAAGCTCTTCGAACATTTCGTGTGTTGCTTCGGCTTCTGATTGAGAATTTCATTTTTTTCATGAATATCGTAAAATGCAGGTGGAATCGGTTCTCACTACAGTCTTGGACATAGCCCAGTTGAGGAGTTCCCACATGAACTGGAGGAGTCTATTGCGAAGAGGGTCGAACCAGAATTTTGTTTGCTGATAGGCTACATCACTCACTGTTGCGCTCTTCCCACCCCACTCTGTTAATGGTATAATGGAAATAGTTACTATTCATTTAAATTTGTTAGTTTAATCTCAGATACTTTTTCGTTTATTTTTTCATTTTGTTTGCTCAAACTTCATTACAAAAGGTGAGGTCAGCGATTGCTCTACTTTTTAGGCTACATATTTGTTTTTCTGGCATTTGTAGAAAAGACGTTGACAGCATCGATAGGAAATGATACCGTGGGAAAATCGTCTAGAACTATGAGAAAACTTGTCTCTGAATGGGCAGTTTCAAACTGGTAACTGTTGATGTTTCTAGAATAAGGAAGAATGTTCGTTAAAAATTTCAGTTATAACCAACTGCAAACTCTTCCCGACAATGTTTTTCTGAACTCGTTTCTTCCACGGCCCAACGATAGACGAGTGATTTACTGCTGTGGTATGTGTATACTAAAGGTCATTATGTCCTTGCCTTTTTTCAACACCTACAAAGCAGCTGTTTTGGTTTGCGTGGTTGCGTGGTTTGTAAGTATGTCTGTTGTTACAGTGGATCATTTTTCTTTATGTTTTCTGAATCCCATAATATCACTAGGCGGATACAGTTTGCGAACTACTACCTTTCTTATAATGCTTGCCTTCATGATTTGTTCCTCCTTATTTTTCTTGAGTAATTTTCTCAGGAATTTACTAGGCTGAGAGCTACACAACAATATTTGGCTTAGTTCTTTCTGATTTTTCTAGGGAATCCATGGTTCTGTAACAGCGAGCTGTTATGGTTCCGACAATTACTTCGAGAAAATCTTGACATTGACATTGAAAAACCTGGTTGTCTAGCGGTTTGTGCTGCTTCTCCTAATGGATGTCCACCTGAAGGGACTCCATTGAGGTGTGTATTCTCTATATTCTTTCACTTTCTAGAATTCTTTTTGAAGAAAAAGAAAAAAAACTTCTTTGCAAGTGAGCATCATTCGCGTAAAGCCATTTGGCGACCTCGGAGAAATGAGGGCTAGGTTTTTCCAGGGCGCGGGGTTATACCAACCACCAGGTGTGTGTTGTCAGGCACCGCTAATAACTGGGGTACACACCTTAAGGTTTAGTTAACATTCATTGGAATGCTTACGAACAAACACAAACTGTTTTGAGTTTTCTAAGCTTATGACTTCTGTAAATTGCAATCAGTGGTGGTGGGTATTCAAAAGAATTTCTTATTCATCGTACGATCTCTAGGCTAAGCGTTAATCTCGGAAGCAATCAATAGGATTGTTGAATCAGTAAATTCAGTCGATACAATTAATTATATGTTTGATACGTAAGCTTCTCAGTCGACAAAAAATCAATCAGTATTGTTCTAGGAGTTCATTAACGAAGGAAGATATATTTAATTTCTAACGTCATGCATTATTTTATGAATTGAAATGGTGTCATGTGTGTTTTTAAGAGCTGTCGACTATTGTTTGGAGAGCGAAGGACCACAACCATACACTGGACAAGCGCTCTCATTGGTTGGATGGATCATTCTTGGTGAGCACGATTCACCTAGTTGTATTCATAAAGTAGAAGATACAAAAGCACCTGACTTTTAAGAAAATCTATATCGAATGTCAAGTAGACGCTAAAACAATGTTGATGGGGAGTTTTTGTTAAACTTAAACAAAACAATCTCTTCATTTCTCAGCGATTATCATGACAATTCTTCTGATATCAATATGTCTGCTAGCCATGGTACGTTACGGTATGAGTCATCGACGGAAAAAACAAAAAGATCAGGAATTCGAGGACGATGTACGAATGATGTCATCAGCAGGTGAGATACTTCACGGACTCTAATTCATTTTCAGAATGGATAAAGGGCAAATCTTTCGGCGTTGATCAACTCCTTGAGGATGCATCATGCATTCAACTCAATTCTTACCACTTTAGATATAATTGGCTTCCTATTATATAATGACTTGATTTGGCTTACCGAGATATCAAGCTTATGTTCCTTATCCCCCCAGACAAACATGACTCCAATTTACCGACAACGGTAGGACCGTGGGCTTAGTCAGCCTGCACGGGGTCAATCAACCACCTTGTTTGTATTGTAGGGCAGTCTATCTCTATACATTGAAATACACTAGCCCCTTGAGTAGCTAGTGAGCACCGTTGGATTATAGTGAAAGGATACCTAGCTAGGCCTGCGATGGCTATTCAGGCTTCATTGTGTTTAGCTCCGTCGCTGTTCTGTCGTTGAATAGAACTGTGTGAGGATGGGTGATCGCGTTGTTTCATGAATCCCCTCTTATAGTCCGTGCATTATCACACATACACAAGAGGAGAACTTAGTTTACTCTGTCAACAAACTTCAGGAGGAAATCAAGAAAACAAAAGCGATGGTATAGGGAACGATGCTTGGGTTTCTTACTCCATACATCTCATTCACGTATGGCTTGAAATGTTAAGCTTCAACTCAACCGTCTTTTTCGAAGCACTGTTTATTAAACATTCTTTCTTCATTTCCCTAGTTCACAGATGCTTAGCGCTTGAAAAGGAAACTTCAACTTAATTTTGCTAAGTGGAAGATATAGGAAACTCTCGTTGAAATCCCTATTTTATTGAGATTCTGTAAAAGAGGAGCGCGTTTAGCGCAGTGGTTAGCAAATTGCCACCAGATTTGACTGGGAGGAGAGCTGTACTGGCTTGGAACATCTGTAGAGCACAACCATTGTATAGGTTGGATTTAAATTCCTTCAGTTCAAACGACGCTTTATGAAATTGAATCCAACATTGATTGATGAGCACTGAGAGTGATCTATCATTGAAAATCTCCTCTACGTTCCTATGTTTCCTAAGTTTTCCCTGTGGATTCTTTTTATTAACTATATCCATTTTCCAGCGTCATTGTACGGTGGTGGCGTGTCGGCGATGGATCGTCCGTATTCGACACTGCCGCCAGTGAATCTCGACCTACCACCGGCGCATACACTTGATGATCGGCCGTCGAATTACTTCTATTGAGGTTTTCAACGACTTCTAGGCATGGAGCTATTAAATGATGTTACTCATGTACGTCTTCATACCGGCGGCTGTTCTGCCAGACGGGCTTCCTAGAATAATGCTGTTTGTATCATAGAGCGGTGCATTGTATCTTATTTTTGTTTGTTTATAAATTTATCTACGTTGAAATACGTTTTCTATATCAGTGTGTTCTTAAACTCGTTCCATTAAGAATAATCATAACAATGAGATCTGAATTATGGAACTGCCGTTTTTCTTGTGATTAAGTATAACTTGCTCTGGCTTGTTGAAGTAGCTCATTATCTTGTTTATTTAACCCTAATAAATTCTCAACGTTTGACTAACTTCCATAAACTTTAGGTGATTCTGAAATAATGTTTCTAGGAGGGAATTCACTCATCGATTGCATCTGTAAAAGCTACTCAGTCCCATCTTAACTATCAGTTGATGGTTCTGCTTCTAGAGGAAGATTCTCTTCTGTCCCTTTAACCTCTGAAGCAGTTAATTCATTCAGAAACCAGTACAAAATTAGTAATTTGGAGGAAAACCGTTAATTAGATATCTCTTTACCATAAAGCTTAAAATGTTGGCGAACTGTAGACAGTGTGGAGCATAGAGCTTAGCGATAAACTCGAGTTCAAGGAAGAGAAGTGTTTGTTTTGAAACAGTTTGAAAATCGATGGAACAACCTTGATGAAGGTGTATGAGTTATTTTTTTGCGCATTGTTTATCGTTTTTTGAAAACAAAGCTTACGAGGTACACCAGTTTTTTTAGTGCGATTTCCATCTCACCACGTCGTATGTCGCAACGTCGAGCTGTACGTATTGAAGTACTTTTTGGTGTTTACCTGCGATAAGAGTGTTCATTTAAGTGACGAGACTCGTAATGCACTTCAGTGAAAATCACTCTAACACAAACTGATGGCCGGTCTAAGAACGTTCACGCCACCACCATTTGCCGTCGACGAACCAGTTGTCGCTAGCGCGTGTAATACTGGTCGCATTGAAGAAATGCAGTCGTAGCAGGCCGAAAAGCGTAGGCAAACGGAAGGTCCGGTCCGGATTTCACCTCCTCAACCGGATGATGATTAGACAAACGTTACGGAAACCCGGAAAGAAAGCGTCCAGATGCCTTTCGAGGGTCTCATTCATTTGAACTTGCTATACTACATTAATTCCCACGATGATGGATGACGCTTCAATGTTTTAGGGATGCTAAGGAGGGGAATTTTGGGAAGGGAGGGATAGAACAGAATCTGACTCATTACGACTCTGCATGAACTGCAGAAAACAAGATAAATATATGACTAAGTACGTTCTATGTCTGCGCTGAGTTCGTTTTGATTACATCCATTTTCCATTTATGGCACTGAAAGCGTTGTAAAAAGCTGGTAGGTAGAAGTGTGACATTCGAAGTGAAATCACGCTTTGTAGGCCTGAAATTCTGATTATGTATCTCATAGAGCATCATACTGTTGGCGCCGACGTAGCTAGGTAGCAATATGTTCTCTGAAATAAATTCGGGCCAGTTCGTTCCCGGCGCCTGATACACCATGTTCTCAATACCTCAGGAACCAACAAAACAGGTATCACACCTGTGAGGGAAAACAAAAAGGTTGTTTTTTCACATGACTGGGCCACTGTTATCTTAGATGCCTAATGAAATCGAATGAATTGCGCATCGCTCATGGATAGACCAACGTTTAGCGTTATATTATTTATTCATTACTCAGTTTTAATATTAAAAATCTGATCCGCGAAGGCTGCCCAGATGGGCTTAGTAGTGAGCCATTCTTAAAACAGTTCATTTGCAGAAGAGCTTCCTCTGCGAAGAAGTAGTCGCCTACACGGAGCTAATACAGTTAGCAGAAACTTCTCTTTATATATAGCAAATAGTTATTTAGGAACTGTCTTAAACTACCTAATAATCGCAGGCTTAATCGAATGTCTCAAAATGTAGAGATGTTGGATCATCGCCATATTTTTGTAGTCGAAACTTTTTACTTATCAAGGTTGTAAACTCATTCTTTCGGCAGGGTCTCCCAAGTTGAGGTGTCCGGCGTTTCCATCGGGAAGCCTAGGTAAGAGTAAACTAATAGCACGATCCATCACTGTTCTGGTACAACTAGTCGCATGGTGAAAAATCTCCCTCTGATCCATAGGGACGGTGACCGCTCGTGGTTGTGACGACCTGGGTCAGACTTTGGCCTGGCCGACCTTGCGACACCAGTGAAGTACAATGGCTCAACCAGCAAACCTGTATCTCCTGTATCACCTGTAACACCTGTAGTCCCGTTGATCGTCGGGTGACTCGAGCGGGAGCCAGCGAATCTTCCATTTTTCCCTGTCGCGTGTAAGAGTAGCCTAGTGGGTTCTGCTCGCTCTAAGGACTCGTTGAGCATCATGTCTTTCTTCTAGGCTTTTGGTAAAGAACTCTGACCATTGGGCTGGTGGCCTTCCTGCAATGCGTGTAGCATCGCGAGGAATCCAGTCAGTAACGGCTCTTGTCTATCGGTTGTCATTCATACGCATTACGTGTCCAGCCCACCTTATGTTCGACTGTTTGGTGTGCAGAACGGCATCTTTGATTTTTGATCGTTGACGCAGATCGGAGCTTCAGATCCCTTCTGTTGCTTGCGTCATACGGGGCACTCCTGGCATTGTCCTTTCGACTGCGCGTTCAATAACGTTTCATGATCTTTCATGCTGCTTAAGCAGCGACCGGGTTTCGAACGCAGAAGTTAGTGCAGGAAGTACCATTGAGTCGAACACGTGGGCACGGAGTCGAGTGTTCTTTGTCCTCTTCATTATAACCTCGATGCTCTTGAAATCTCTTCAGGTTGCTCTTTACCTTCTGTTCAGTTCTGGAGCTAAGTCGTTTAACATGTTGATTTCCCGACCTAGACAGACATAACAGGAGCATTCGGAGATATTCGTTCCGTTAAGCGAGAATGGGACATACGAAACCAACCCGCTCTTCATGAACATCGTTTTTGTGAGATTTAGTCGAAGACCATTCTTTTTACAGGCCTTATCAAAGCCGTTAAGCATACGTTCCGCTTTTCTAATGTTTGGTGTTATAAGGACGACGTCATCAGCAAGGAGAAGAATATGTAGCTGCAGACCATTGATTTTCACTCCCATATTATCCCATTCCAATGTTCACGTGACGTTCTGGAGGGTTCTAATAGGAAGAACGGGTTCGTCCTTTCGATTTGTAAAAAGTGTTTTATTATATCCCCTTGATAAAATTTTTACTGCCACCTGTATCACGTGTAGTCCCGCTGCTGAGATATTTATGGCAGAGATCGATAGAACTAGCTGAGAGACAGGCGAAACAAAGGACCCGCATGGTGTGGTGGTGAACGCGTTACTCCCCGGAAAGGACAATAGCGCGTTCGTTCCCCACCAGGATTTGCCTGGATTTCAAAGAACTACGGTGACGATCTGTACCTACAATGCACGTATACTTGCATCCGAGTCCTCGATAGAAGACTTGCTCATGCAAGCAAGAAGGATAAAGTACGACGTCATCAGCCTGGCCGAGACGAGAAGACACCGACCTTTCAAAGCCGTCTATGACACCGGAGAACTGTTCCTCTAAAAATGCGACAGTGGAGGAGTCGGCGGCGTCGGCATTCTCGTCAACACGAGTTTGACCATGAACATCGATTCATTCGAACAACTTACAACCCGAATCGGACGTTTACGATTAAAAGAACGTGAATCAATTCCGGCTTTGGCAATCTTCGTCGTTTACGCGTGGACATCAAACTATGACGAAGAAGAAGTCGAAGCGTCCTATATGGACTTGGAGGGGTTCTACAGAGATGACCACACATTCTTCAAGGTCATCGTTGGAGATTTCAACGCCAAGATTGGACCAAGGAGAGAACGTTTGAAGGATGTCACATTGGAACTCATGAATTAGAATGAAACGAACAGGGTGAGCGGGTGTCTGAGTTTACTATACCGACCAAGACAATCCATGGTAACTCACAATTCCAGAAGCCTCACTCTCAGCGCTGGACGTGGGAGCCTCCCAATGGAAAGTACCATAACGAAATAAACCACATTATAGTAAATAAAAGGTTTTGCCTGACCGATGTCGCCGTTGTTCCAAAATTCTACACGGGATCAGACCATCGTCTCCTTCGTGCAAGATTCTATTTCTTGCGGAAAGGAGGAAAAGCCGCTAAATTCTAAAACCGAAGTCCCAAAACCACCGCAAACTGAGATTTATTCAATTCATTAGTCGGCTGTTGGGAAGATACCGTTGTCGATAACATCGGCGAAGAATACGATCAGCTCATTCAACATCTTCACGTTAGCGCTATGAAAGCTCAGAGTTCGAAAGTCACCAAGAGACGTTGGTCTCCAGAAACACTCGAGCTGATACGTCAGCGTGGAATCGCACGGGCTGCAGGCAGCCGAGAACTAACGTCCGAACTTGCAAAACAATGCGGACCGGCGATAAAAAAAAGACCTTAGGGAAGAGGAGCAGTAATGGTCGAAGCTACAGAGGCTGGGAAAACCATTCGCAAAGCCCACCGAAGCTTCGCCAATTACAAGACCAAGGTGATTGTACTCCGACTCCCAGACGGGCAGTTATAACGTCCAGAAAGGCAATGGAGGAAATCATTCACGAATACTCCTCGGATCTCTTCGATAGCTACGTCCATCTTCCATCATATGAAATAAAGGAGGATGGATATGTTCTAGCACCGGTTCTCCCTT